TTGCCTCAGTGACCCTATCATTATTCCCATCGGAGATGGCAGAGCAATGCTCAGGGCCGTCCTCCCTGCACAGAGCTGTGTGTATGCATGGCTACTGCATCAGTGGATGAGGAGCCTTTGGAATCTGCTGCAAGTGGCAGCAGCATTCTTTCCCCCTCTGCTACTGCGTGGCAGCTCTCTAGAGCATCGGGAAACTAATTGGTTATCCTTTTGATAACCATGGTGTACGTGCCTACTGGAGCAGCAGTAGTATTTGACAGTATTAGTGGAGTCTTTCTGTTACTTCAGGCTTGAGGAATACTTACACTTTTTAAATTACAATTTTTTACAAAGAATTTATTCCAAATTTGTGCTGCTTCACAGCTTTTCTGTGCTCTGACTGCAACAGCAGAAACAGAACTATCCACAGGTTTTAAGGCAAAGGTTTGCCTTTTCCAAGGGAAATCCCTTTTCATTTCAGTCTTAGTCAAATTTTGGAAATGTTTTTCCTCATGATTTGGGATGAAACACTGACAAAACCCGTGTTTGGCCAGCTCCAATAGTTAAGTGCGAAAATAGAGCTGTTACCGTGATACGTAGTAGCATTGATAGCAACAACCACTTCCTTTTTGTGTAATAGCAGAAGAAAACTAAAAACGTTTTGAGTGTGCTGGTGCTTTTTTTTGCCCTTCATAACACTTTTTACATATGAGGTCATCCTACCTTTTTGCTCTAAGGCAGACACACATAATTTCCTGAGGTGACAATTAACAGAATCAAGTTCTCTACAGTTTTGCCAGAGCTCTTAAGGAGCCCAGATCACCTGTATAAGAAATCTTGGCTTTTTAACTGCACTCAGTGAATCGGAGCACAAAACATGCTGATTGTGCTCTTTTAACCATTAGCAACATGTCCTTTCAGAGTTAAATAGAAAAAACAGAATCTTTCCTGGGGAGGAGGACAGTTGGGGGTTGTCGCTTAACTTCATCTCTGGTAGCAGGAATCTATGTTTATTAGTTCAGAGTTTATGGTTTCCAGAACTGCTGATGACCAGTGTATTGAGCCAGTGTAAGTTTGTGTGAGAGAACCTGCGTGCAGCTGGGCTGGAACAAGCCTTGGAGAAGGTGGTGACTTGATTTCACGCTGTGGAGACTTGGCAGACAGAAAGCTCCGGCATTTCACGTTTCTCTGTTGGATTTTGTGGAAGGAAGCTTAGGCTAAGATAATGACACTGCAATGGTTGAATATCATCTTTGATTCTTCATGGATTGTACAATAAATAATGTTATTGTATTTTTGTACTCTTTATCTGATTTATCTGTTTTAGTAAAATTTATGCTTCTTCATGGATTGTACAATAAATAACGTTATTGTATTTTTGTACTCTATCTGATTTATCTGTTTTAGTAAAATTTATGTTGAATTGCACAGAAGCTAATTTCATTGTTTTCTAAGAAGCACTTCTTCTGTTCCCTAGGTGCTTCTTGCCAAGACATAATTCTTCTCTTAAATTAACAAAGTGCAGTGAAATTAAAAAGCACTTTGCATATGTGTGGGGCAGCTCAGGAAAATACTGAGGCTCTTGTACCATGTGCTTTAATGTAATATTTAAACCTGTCATAGCTAGTCCAGCCATTCTCACACAATGTTTCCTAAGCTCTGCCATTTAAAAAAAAAAAAACCAAAAAACCAAAAACCCACAAACAAAAACCAAACCAAGCACCACACCAGCTCAATATTAAACTATTAGTATGTGTATATTTCAGCTTTATACAGTGGAACAAAAGCAGTTTAAAACTTCTGGGTCATTCTGCAATATCAAGATGACCACAGCTGTCTGGAACACTTGTATAGTGACTTTGTATGTCCCACAACTATACTGTTGGTTGTGTTTGCTTCATCATTTAAGAAAAAGATTTAATACCTGCCTCAGTTCCTCATAAATGCTTTATGTTATTTTCTGACAAAAATCAGTACTTTTCTCTCATCAGTTACTTAATCCGGTCTAACTTCAAAGCTGCAAATCTCAGTTACTGAAGGCACAGTAAAGTGCATTGGCAAACATGTTGGAACCATTTCCAGTAATTTTGGCGGAGTGCTAGAGGAAGTGGAAAGTAATACAGATCAACTCAGAAGGCTATGCGTTCGCTTAGATGATCTGGAAAACAGGACTTAACACCAGAAAGTAATTGCAGTAAGCATCCAATAGCAAAACTTGAAGTGTAATGTTTTTTCCCTCTTGTAGTAAGAAAATAAAGAAATAAAACTCTCTTCAATGTTACACAAATATTATTTGGTCTCACTAACTGGCTTTTTTTTTTCTCTACACACACCTCCCTCCCCACCTTCAGAATTAATAACATGGAACTAGCTCAGAGAGGCGAGTTATTTACAGTAACAAATAACATTTTTAGCTGTAGAGACTCAAGGGTGGAGTCAGCACTTGTTTATGGAGTTTGGCTTTCCTGCGTCCCCAGAGAGCGATTCCCAGTAGTCATGGCCTCCTTGGTTTCCCTTGAGCAGGGGCCTGTTATCATGTCTCGCTCTGCAGCCTGTGAGAAAGCCGAGGCTGGGCTGTCTCGCGTAGGCTTCGCCTGGCCGTGTGAACAGATTACAGCATTCCGCTTGTTAGCATGAGCCACGGAGCAGAAATGTTTTACTATTATGTTACTGGGCAGTGATAAAGTTGGCAGTCTTTTTATGGTTAGGTCCTCGAAGTGGCAGTGTTTTAGTGATAAGGAGACAGAGCTTTGGATATCAGACCCAGACGTATTATCTGCAGCAGTGAACTGTGGCTTAAATCCTTCCACAATGACAGGAACCCCATCTGGGGTGACGGTTTCCAGAATCTTAAACGGGAGATACTGAGGCATTTTCCTTCCTCATGAGTCAAAGCAGAGTTAACCCCATTGTTATCAAAAATAAAAAAAAAAAAAGGAAGGATGCATTTTTATAGCTAACTAAATCTCTTCCTTTATATTTGAACTTTGAGTATAATTTTCAGACAGATCCGGGAGGATGAATTGGCAGCATTGTGCTTAAAAGCTTTCACTAGGTGGTTTTAGGGTATTGAAAGAAGCACCAATGCAACTCCCATGCAATGCTTAAAACTGCTCTAAGGTGTTTATCAAAGGAGGTGAACTAAACAGTATGTGTATTTCTTGCAAGATTTTTCTTTATGGTATCTAAACACAGCTTCTAATTGTGCCCTGGGCGCTGCATGTGCACGTTGACACTGAGCACCATGTAAAGATGTGTTTGGGTTCTATTTACAGCGTTCTGTGGGTTGCGGGGGTTAAGTGTAATCCAGATTATACAGTGTTAACATTTTCCCTACTGATATCAAAGTGTAGAAGACTGGCAGGCTGACTTGTTAGGGTGGGCTGGGAGAGGGATACCAGGCTCCGACCTTGAGAGGCCGAGCAGCCGGCCCTTGTATGGCCAAGTCCATATACGTGCCCAGCTGATTGGTCAGAGGAGCAGGATCAGCGCTGTGACAGGTGTCAGGGAACCTACACCTGTTTTCCCCATATGCTGATTTAGTGATTACATTTTTGTGGGAGTTCCAGATACTGTGTGGGATACGAGGAGCAAGCCAAGAAACTTGAGAAGGAATTACAGCTTATGGTGACCTGTGATATTAAAGAATTTCAGATGGCGTAATTCAGTTTTCAAGTACTGCTTTAAAACTGAAGTAGAAATAGGCAGTATTTTGCATGTATATGAATAGTGAGGAAGTCTTGTGTACTTTTTATTGTACTAAAAATGAGTAGATAGCACTTTACAGTATTCATCAGCATTTTTTCTTAGTCTAAAATGTAGTCTTTTTTTTTTTAGTCAAAAATTCAGTGTGTTATGGAAACAGCTTTTATAGGGAAACAAATACAATTTCTTTATGGTGCTGAGAACGTCAGCTTGCAGATTTCAAATCTTTAGGGTGAAGTTTAATGTAAAATTCATAGCATATAGCTAATTTCTCACAAAAGAAAACACATAAACCTCCTCATGCCTGTATAGTCCTGCTGCTGCCTTGTGTACTACTAATGTGTACCTGTTTAAAAATTTATATTGCTTTCCTTTTGAAACTTTTTTAAAACAATAGGTGGTATTTTAAATCTTGTTTTGTTATAAATGAGAACTTGCAAAGAAAGATTTCTGGTTGTGTAACGGTGAAAAAGAAAAACAATAAGGAATACAAATATCTTTTAAAATTTGGTCAGGAGATGGGTAGTTTCACGTCCTTTTTTCAGTATCTTATTTGTGATGCCTAGAGGGTAGACAAGTTTGTTTTTTTTTTCCAGGGGATGTTGATATGAGTCCTCCATCAGAAAACAGGAAGTAGCCCAATGAAACAGTTGCATCAAGTTAGTATAAAGGAGTCTGAAAAAACTTATATTTAGCAAACTAAGTCATTTTAGAGAGGGATTATGTAATTTATTTTTATACTTTTTTTGCAGTTCTTGTTATCATACAGGATGACAGAAGTGCAGGAAAAATGGTGCCTTAAACGGCCGAGACCAAGTGTTACATGTATTAATACACTGCAGTTGTTGAATTTGGTTGAAAACTGTAGCCACTGTGTTTCTCAGAGTTTAACTGTATGTTCTTTAAAATGTGAATTATTAAAATTGGGATGCTAAGATAACTTGTTAAAGGTCCAGTAAACTGGCTTTTAATTACCAGTGATGACATTAACTTCTTTGCCATAGTCTTGAATGTTCCTTATATGTCAGGCAGCTTTACTCCATCAGCCAGTTTTTGCATGAAATACTGGAGAGATGAAGTGGTTATAGGTTAAAGTTACCCGTGAGATGGCACCTGGGAGAGTCTGTGCCTCTCAATGAACCTTTTCTCTTTGTGTACTATGCCACTATATTAAAAGACTAAGCCTGTCTGTTGAACAGTGAGTTTTGTCTGTGAAAGTTTCATGTAGTTTCAGTGGCTCTGAATGATTCAGTCGTATACAGAACTTCATGGCAAGTTAGTATGATCTGTATGTGAATTTTCCAATTGTATTTCAGACCTTAAGAAAGAAAGGCCTTAATGGTTGTGAGAGCCCTGATGCTGACGATTACTTTGAGCACAGTCCACTATCGGAGGACAGATTCAGCAAACTAAATGAAGATAGTGATTTTATTTTCAAGCGAGGCCCTGTAAGTACTTTTATTTTATCTCTACTTTTTATTTGTTGATCCTTTTTATTAACTTCATTATTTAGGCTCTGAACAAGAAGGAACACAGAGGGTGCGACAGCCCGGACCCTGACACTTCATATGTGCTCACGCCACATACAGAAGAAAAATATAAAAAAATTAATGAAGAGTTTGATAATATGATGCGGAATCATAAAATCGCAGTGAGTACTAAAGTATGGTTTGTGCTTCTATTACCTGCATGAGAATTTTCATGGTGTTTGCTTACCACTGAAAACCACTGCAAAGACAAGAAGATGTAATGGTTTGAGAAAGGAATATAAATTTTTGAGGAAAAAGAGGATGCAAATACTTGATCTTGTTAAAATAGTTTTATCTTAAAGAATAAGAAGATATATCTCTGGCTTCTCTTTCGCACTCCCAGTTTTTCATACCTTGTGAACATGGGGTAGTAATTTCAAATTTCAGGAGCCTAGCTGCATTGCCTAATCCTACCTAAAATATTTTTATAAAGATAGATTTTGTCGTGGGATGTAGAATAGTTTATTTACATCTTGTAGCTCTTTATCCGTCTGATCAAGATTTTAACAGTATGTTACAAGCAGGCAAATAGAAATGGATTAATTTTGTCATCAAATCAGTGGTATTTGTTTTGCTGAAGAATGGACGTAGAAAGGTGTTTAGATGTTTACAGATAAAGACTGGTGTGCAATGGGAACCTCAAAAGATTGGTGTCTTACTCCTGTTGAAATTCTAACAGAAACTTCCTTGGATGCTGAAAGATCTTTGAAAATTTTGTCCCAAATGCCTGACTCCTTTGCAGCCCTAAGTCACTTGGCTGCAGAACTCAAGAAGTCTGGGGATAAGAGTAGTGTAAATTTTGTATGTTTTCTATGGAGGTGTAGATGATGACATTTAATTTCCATCTACAAAAACCAATCTGTGCTGAGTATTACAGGGGAAGTATTTTCTAAGAAAATAATACAGGGCTCTGCCACAGCCTTTGAATTTTTTAACATTGCAGATCTTGTAGCTATTAAAGTGAATGGACTGGCTAGGTTAATCTGCACAGACCCTGGGGCCGTTGAGTAGCGTGTCCCCAAATGACTTGCCAATACTAGAAATTGTTATAAGGCCACCTCTGGGGACTTAACAGCAAACTGACAGTCATGACACCCAGTGCCACTTCTTTTAGCAAGTTCTTTATACATGAATGAACCAATATCTTTTGTTCTTGCTTTGTTTTGAAGCTTTTGAAATCCAGCGTTTCTGTGTTGAAACAACATCTTCAGGCCTCATCTTTCAGTATGTTACAGCTAAATTGCTATCCCTTGATTGTCTGGGGTCTCCATGAACAGCCTAAGTTGTCTGTGTGGACATCAGTGTGAATAATAAAGGCAACAAACTGTATTTTTTAGCTCTATAGTTCTGTATTTTGTAGCTTAAATTGGACCTGTTACGGTTTTGTTTCCAGTGCTTATGGGTCTGTATAAGAACATAGTTTCTTTTGTTCTAGTGCACTCGTTACTGTCAAAGGATAGGAATGAGGCAAAGCGTGAAGAATTCAGTCATAACCAAATAAGTACCATAGATGGGCAGAGGCAGCCTTTATTGTAAGGTGTGGGGGGAAGCTGTCATTTATTAGTTCTATATTGAGCAACCTACAGAAAAAATGTCCCAACTGTTGGCTTCTAGCGTTGCTTTAGGCACACTTCAGGTATTTCAAGTTTAGTTTGAGTTACTTGAGAGCATGCTGTTTAAAAACCACCTATTTTTTGTAGATACTGAATAGTTTCTTGAAGCAGTTTCTCGTGAAAACAAATACCAGTACAGCTTGTCATTAGTTAGATACTGTGAATGATTTGCTAGCATTACGTTGCTATGCTTCGTTACTTTTTCCTTCTGTCTGTGCCAAAAATTGATAATTATTCTTAGAATGCTTCAGTAGGGACACTGTCATTGGCTCTCACTAGTAGGAGACTTAGTTTCTTGTAGAAAATGTATTCTGCTCTTTTAATTAGTATAGTTATTATTGTATTTCTAATATTATCAAAATTGTCATACAGAAGTATATCGTTCTAAGTAAATTTTAAGCTGCACATGGCAGAAGTGCATCTTTTTAAGTATAGTTGCTAGGTCATGAATGTTTGTCATCTGCATATGACCTCTAAATCAAAACTATTCTCCCTCTGTTCTGTCAGTAAATACTACCAAATTTTTACGCTTGAACTGTACCTGTCATGGTTTTGTTTCCAGTAATTATGAGAGTTGTGAAAGAAAATAGTCCCTTTTGTTTCAGAAACTCATCACTGTCAAAGGATAGGAATGAGACAAAGGCCAAAGAAGTTAGTCATAACCAAATGAGTACCATAGATGGGCAGGCATCTAAGCTTTTGATTCAGATAGTTGTTGAATAACAAACATATATACTTCAGAAAAAGAGTTGCCTTTTAAATAATGCTGTAAAAATTAGAGTTTTAAAAAATGAAATTTGCAAAAAAAAGAAGGATGGAGTGGTTATTCAAGCAGGGTGTTGTGGAACACAGGATATTGACAATTGAAATGTTTAAATTAAAATCTTAGTGACTTTCTAAAAATTGGTTTAATTTTTTTAGTCTGTTGGAGAAAAAAGTTTTAGGTCTTAGTAGCAATATTTTCGCAAGGTTATTAATAGAAAATGTTATTACTAACTTTTTCTTTTTTGTGTAATAACTATTTCATTATGTGCATGTTAATCCTTACGTTTTGAAGGTGCAACAGTTCATTGGTTTGCAGACATGTTTAGCTTGTCATTGCTTTGTAATAATCTGAATTAACTGATAAATTTGTTGTATTTCTGAGCTTGTGAATTCATATGAATATCTTCATATTTTTCTGTATTTGAACTTTCAGTATTTTTGAAGTTTATGAGTATTTTGGAACTGTATTTATATGATATATGAGAGTTTAACACCTTACTCTACAACAAATGGATGTTTTAGAATTGTATGCTGGATAGAGTTGAAAAACTAACATAATTAACTTTTTTTTTTAAACCTGAGTTTTTCCTGGCAAACTTTAATGTGTATTTTTATTATGTGCTATTTCTGCAAACATAGTTAATGCTAATGTTGTTGTCTTGTATGTGTTCCTTGTCTTGTTTCCTCCAGCCTGGCTTGCCTGCTCAGAACTTCTCGATGTCGGTTACAGTTCCAGTGTCCAATCCCAACACTTTAACCTACAGTAACCCAGGGAGTTCCCTCGTATCCCCATCACTGGCAGCCAGTTCATCGTTAACGGACACGACCATGCTTTCCCCACCTCAGACCACCCTGCATCGGAACGTATCACCTGGGGCCCCTCAGAGACCACCAAGTACTGGCAACGCAAGTAAGCTTTCAGTCCTGTTGTGCTTCCCTTTTATACCCTCTTTTTATTTATTTATTTGTTTAAAAAAATCCACAGACAAAAAAACCCCAAGTAACAAGTTCTTAATGGTATCTGTGCGTTTTCTTTTTTTAATGGCTTAAGTTGTGTAGTACAAAATGATACAATACTGTAATAAGAGCAAGTTAGTTTAATGCTCTGGCTTATTTTTATTAGGTGGAATGCTGGGGACAGCTGACCTCACAGTGCCAAATGGAGCTGGTACCAGTCCAGTTGGTAAGTGCAGTATCGTGTCTTTGTTGAAAAATCATAGAATAGTTTGGGCTGGAAGGGACCTTTCAAGGCCATCTAGTCCAACCCCCTGCAGCGAGCAGGGACATCTTTAGCCAGATCAGGTTGCTCAGAGCCCCGTCCAACCTGACCTTGAATGTTTCCAGGGATGGGGCTTCCACCACCTCCCTGGGCCGCCTGTGCCAGAGTTTCACCACCCTTGTTGTAACAAATTTCTTCCTTCTATCTAGTCTGAATCTACCCTCTTTTAGGTTAAAACCGCTACTCCTTGTCCTATCACAACAGGCCCTGCTAAAAAGATTGCCCCTTTCTTATAGGCCCCCTTTAAGTACTGGAAGGCCACAATGAGGTTTCCCAGGAGCCTTCTCCAGGCTGAACAACTCCAGCTCTCTCAGCCTGTCCTTATAGGAGAGGTGTTCCAGCCCCCTGATCATTTTTGTGGCCCTAAAAAAAAATCCCAAACAAACCAAACATTTTTGTGGTTTTAGTTTCAGATTATTCAAAAAGCAATTTTCTATTTTGACTCATGAAAAAGTGGTTGTGGAAGAACAAAGGTCATGATTTTTCGTAGTTGCCATGTAATTTTCAAGTCTTGTAAATTCTTATCAGGCATTTAACTTTACTGCCATGCCCTTTCCACTTCTGTAATACTGGCATTTTTTATCTTAGTGGTTTTCAGCAGTAGCATGCTGGCACTGGTTTTGTGTATCTCTACAGGTGTAATTACAGCAGTCTAAAGAGATTTTTAAATTTCTTACTTGTTATGAAATTCACTGCACTTAGTAAACTATTACACTAAAGACAACTCATCTGTGTTCTCCACTTCAGTATTCACGAGACCTGGATGTTTGATACTGGTTGTAATGCCAATCAAAATGAAAAAAATGCAGACTGTATTGTTTGTATTGCCATGTGTATCTTGCTAATTATTTTCTAGCAGTTATACGAAGAAAGCAGTAAATCTTGGAAGCTGATAGCTAGGTTCTGTCTTAATTTTGGAAGATGATCAGAATTTCTTTCAAAACCAAATTTGAGATCTTGCCAAAAATCAAATTCATAGTAATTTTTGGTCTTCAGTAAAAAGATATGATAGCACTATTTCATTTGAATAGTGTTTTGTCTCCCCTAAACAAAATTTAGTCCTCTGATAGAGGGCAGGCAGCCATTAAAATTTGGCACACCACGGAAAGACAAAATAAGTGACAGTTAACCCACTTCCTTCATGCTCCTTCCATTCTTTGAGATGCCTTTGTACTGAAGGTCAGTTTTGGAAATCCACATAACTCTTCTTGGTATGTGTTTGTAGCAAGAAATTAGAGAAGCAACTGTTGACCTTTCAGTATTTGCCCGCTGGCTACTTAGTGTGGAAACTGGGAAAAAGTTCTTTGAAGATAAAGTCAGGCAGTTGAATTTATGAATAAAAAATGCTGCAACTACAAGGCTGAAAGCACAGGATGACTTTACGCTCTTCGTCCATTCTTTGGCTATGTGCAGGAAAGATATGAAATATTAAAGTGTGGTTTCCATCAGGTAAGCAAGATTTTAAGTGGAGGAAACTTCCTCAGTTGAAAAGAGATGACCATTTTTAGAAACTCTGGACGTCAGATGTTGATTTCCATAGTATTTCTCAAGTCAGACTAAATAAGTTTATCAGGCTGTTTCAGGCTTCTTTTCCAAAATCAGACTTTAGTAACAGCAGCCTCAGATTTAAGACTCCTCCTTTCAATAAGCAAATAAAACAGTTGTTTACAGCACTTGCTATAGAATATTGAACTGTAGAAATACCCAGTTACAGCAGCTTGGTGAACATATGTAATGCAGTGAAATGTTTTCCTTCTTGCATTTATTAATAGTTTATGTGAAAAGTCAAAATGCATCACTTATCTCTTACTTTCCAGAACATCGCACCCAAAATGTTATACATATACCCACTCATTTCTAGAAAGATTTTTCATACAAGTAAGAGTTGTGGCTATACCAGAACAGTGGAACATGTATAAGAAGTACCTCTAGTGAAACTCGAATACCTAGTTAGCACCAGAATGCTAAGCCACAGAGTTGTACGCTAAGTTGTCAGAGCTCTACTTTTCCTAGGATATGGCAAGGCTTCTTTAAATACTGTCAGGTGCACAGTGACCTTCTCAATTGCAACCAAAATCAAGAAACCATACATAACCAGATTGAGTAAATCTGCTAACTTGTCAGTTTGAGCTTGACAGCCACTGTTGAAGTGTGTATATCAAGTTAATTATGTCTGCACACAACAATGGCTTTAGTTTCTTGCTGCATTTATTGTAGAATCCACTTAAAAAAAAAAAAGTATATTTTCTTCTTTTAGCTTTCAATTTCTTAAACTTCTCAGGAATGGAGAATTTTGCTATGGATATACTTGTGAAAGGTCATGTGTCCAATTGGCAGCTCAGAATTTATGGGAGAGATGTCAAAGGTAAAGCTGGTTTACCCGTATTCCCAGCTATTCTGTTACAGACAATGGAAAAACCCAAGTCTTGCTCGACACTATAAACGTTTGAGCATTTGAGATTTTTGTTCCTGTTCCATTGGAAGATACTTACATGCCTTTATCTCTGATTAAAAAGCAAGTAAAGGTTATCTTGCGTAGTTGAGACCCAGTTTCAACAAAGATGTTGCATAAAATGGCTCATATTTAGTTCACATGAGTCTTTTCCTCAAGTCCTGTGTAACTGGGTGGGAATAGATATGATTTGCTTTAGCAGTCAATCTGCCAACTTAACAGTTTTTCTGTGGAAAATAACTTTCAGTAAAAATATCTGCGTGCTGTAGCAAATATTGGTAGGTGTGTTTTTATGTCTAGAACAGAAACTTTTGTGATAATTTTATAATACTGAGAGCTTACTTCACATGCAGCTGTCATAGCTCTAAAAAAGCATTTTTATTTTGTAATATTTTTAAAATTTTACCCACCACATAACATTTGCTGAAAATTTTTACTTGGCAAGTGTATCAGTTTTGAGACGGGGAAAATGTCTGGCATTATAACAGTGTTTGCTTTTGAGCTAATTTATTTTTTCTGTTAATTAGATCAAATGTTTTAGAGTTGGAATTTTCATGATACTGTTGCCCCTGGTCAGTGTTAAAACTTGTTCTGTTTGTCGTGGGCATCTAAGGTGCTTCAAGAACCCCATGTTGCGAGGATGCGTACAACTTGCCATTTGTTGTCAGCATCATCTTGTCTTGAACACGTGCTGCATGTTCATGTTACTCCTTTCAAAAGGCTGTGGATTCTACTTGGGCAAAGTACAGCATCACTTGCTCTGAGTACCCAAATATGGGGGAGAGTTTCTTTGGCTTTGAACTGAAAGGACTTGATGGGTGGATCACCTTCAAGTTTGCCATGAGGAGGTCTGCTTCACCATGTTCCAGTAGATTAGGTATTACACCTGAAGTCATCCAGAGGTTGCCAATGAAGTGCCTTTCCAGTGAAGTTGTCCCATCCTTGAGGACTCTGAGAATCAGAAAGGCTCAAAAGAAGTACCACTGTTACCCAGTCTCTACTTTTTCTTCCATAACTTTCATGTACGGCACTGAGCTAGAACCATGTGAAGGACCTGAGCTGGTTTTCATTGCCAAGGCTGCATGAAAACCATAAACCCCGAGTTCCTTAAGTTCTTCCCAGGCCTAGGTGATTTTGAATGAGTTGTTGGAAGTGGATGCTCTTCATGATCTCACAAGGACACAATATTACCTGTCTGTACATTTCTGTGTCAGTGATACTGCCCTTCTGGTCAGTAATGCAGATTATGGACCCAGTTAATCTTCTGGGAAATTAGCTTTTTTCTTAAAATTTTATCATTGGGAGAATGGGTAAGAAAGATCTAGTCTTCTTGCATGCTGAAATTCTCCTCTTTGTTCCAGAGCTATATGTTCTCTAATGTCCTCACTAATCTTCAGATTCCGCGAATGTGAAGTGACTTTGGGACTATTTAATTTCTTTGGAGTAGAACTGAAGGATATACCTGCTTGAAAAACTGTGTCTTGTGAACTATTAGATCTCTATTAAGAGCCAGTCTAGATCATGTGGGATCTTTTATCCTGGCCTCAGGAAGGATTATGGAGAGGTGCAGCTGACAGCTTGCACGCACCACTAAACCGCTTGAATATTGCCAGAAAGGGATCAAGACGAAGAACTGTGAAAGGCCACACCTGTAAATGGCTCCCTTTGTCTTGAGGGCTTGGCTGATTGGGAGAGCTTTTTCTGCATGTCTGAGGATAAAAGAAGCTTTCAGCTTGGTCTTACACAAGTCTGAGTCAAGTGGCTAATACCCTGCAGTTCTTTAGAGCATGCCAGAAGGCTTCAGTAACAAAACAGCTTTCTGTGCACACTTTTCTGCTCGTGTCGTTTTGTTTGTTAAATGAGACACCCCAATGAGAAGTATCCAACTAACTCTAGAAAAGCATAACTCTTGCGGGAATTTTGATTGAAACTGGATTGATGCTATCGACCTCTTCCTTAAGAAAACAGACTTTCTTCTCCCTCCACCCCCCTCTCAATCTCACCAGCCCGTATCATCTGCGTCAGCTAAAAACCTTATCACTGTTGTTGTAGACAACCACCTTAGGAAAGCAGCAGTAAACCTTGAGCATATTCCTACTTAAGGTTATGCGTTACTGGCGGAATTTCTTACCTGCTATACTTTCTCTTCAGTATGACAGGTAGTATCTGTCACAGGTAGTCTTTCACTAGACAGAGCTCCTCACTTCCTAGTGTCTGTTGAAAGGGGTTTGTTATGTTCAGCTGGTGCTAATGCCGTGGACAGAGGTTCTTGCTCTGAAATGTCAGTAGTGTGTGCAGTTGCTCTGATCTATAAGATTACACAGTAAGTACAACAGTCAGCGTTTCACCCTCCTCCAAGGAAGAAGATGAAGAGTCCCTGAAGAACAGAGAGCAGCCTATTTACTCTTGCAACTTCCAGGCTCTCCTCAAGGGAAAGGAGTACTGAAAGTGG